CACCAAATGAAACAAAAATACCATGTATTGCCTGCAAACTTGCAGGCATTCTACTTTTTCCAAACAGTATAAAAAGGGGTATGGGCAGGGGAAAAAATTGTCAATTCCTGACCCAGAATAGACTTAAAATTTGACATGAGCTACTTATACTACAGTAAAGTAGCTGAAAAAGGTTTACATTTCAGCAAGCATTTCATGACCACCCCATTTAGGAAATAACTTTACAGCCAATGCAGTAAGTTTGGTTGCTTACATTTAGCAAATATAGCAGCCAGTGTGTACAGATTAAGCTCCCACAACCAATAACAACAAGTAGATGATCGGTTTGAGATACTGCAAGGGCAAATATTGAACAGTGGAATTCTCTGTAGTTTCCTGGGCAAGTTTGAAATATTTTGATCTTAGGTCAAGAGGAGTAGATAGAATATCTGTTTAAAATCACTCATCTGAAAGATCACCCCCAACCGTGCTGCACACCTTCAGTACCATACCGGAGTGTCTGTATTACTTTGAAATTGTACAACATTCCGTATGTGGTCCCAAAGTCCTAGTCCCATTTATGCCTACTTTTTGCTTCCTAAACATCAACTCTATCCACACTAAAATATTGTCCCCCTCCTTCAACTCAATGAGCCCTAAACTTCCCTAATCCTTAGTGCAGAATTTACCAAATGCTTTAAAAATCCAGCTATTAATTGGTTCACATTTACCCCAATTAATCCTCAAAACAAATCTGTCAAGCATTAAAAGTAGTATGGAGGGTACCAGTGCATGTTCAATTTAGCAGTTTACTGCAAATTTAAACAGAAAAGTACTTCACTTCCTATTTAATAGGAGAAAATTGGTAGAGGGATGAAGCAGCCTGCTGATAACTCAACTTGTGGCCTTAGGTTCACATCTCTAGCCTTCATCTACATCCCAGAAACAGTAAAACATAACATAACAGAAACATAAACCTCTATTAGAATACTGTATTCAGTTCTGGTCTCCCAGCTATAGCAAAGACATTGTTAAACTTGAAAGGGTTCAGAAAAGACTTAGAAATGTTGCCAGGATTGGAGGGTCTGAGCTATAGAGACCTGCTGAATAGGCTAGGACTTTTTTCCGCTGGAGTGCAGGCTGAGGGGTGACCTATAGAGGTTTAGTCAATCAGGAGGGACATGGATAGGGTAAATAGACAAGGTCTTTTCCTCAGCATGGGAGAATCCAAAAACTAGAGGGGGCATAGGCTTAAAAAAAGGAGGGGAAGAGATTTAAAAAGGCACCAGAGGGGCAACATTTTTTACACCAGGGGCAATGCATGTGTGGAACAAGCTGGCAGAGGCAGTGGTGGAGGTGGCTGACACAATTACAACATTTAAAAAGGCATCTGGGTAGGTATATGAAAAGGAAGCATTTAGAGGGGTATGGGCCAAATGCTGGCAGACAGGACTAGATTTATTTAGGATATCTAGTCAGCATGGACAAGTTGGATCGGAGGGGCTGTTTGTGCTGTAGACCCTGACAGAGGTGGATATAACAACCTTGCTGATTCACAACTCTTATAAACTTCAGCAAGGAATCAATAGGTTTCAAAAAGCCAAAAAGAGCATTTAAAAAGTTAGGAGCAGATTGAAGTCTATAAAATTTCTGAAAATTTGAATTTGTGCAGAGACACACAAACTTGGTATAATATGCAAAAAAAAAACCACAGCATTTCTGGTGTGGGAAACAGATGGTGCATTTTTCTACATGGAATACAAGTGTAACCAGAATCAAAGATGAACTCACTTAGACCTACATTAAGCCAGACAAGTGCATGAAGCAAACATTCAAACTCACTGAATTACGTAGGGAGGGTGCAAACAGCCCCTTTGCAAAGATTTGCACTGATCTAGGAGCAGGAAAGTGGAGATCCAACCAAACATGTTGAAGAGATGTCTTGTCTTACACAATCAGAAAGCATATAACCAGTGCATTGCAGCTTTACTGAATACAATGTTCAGTTAAGAACCCAGAAAAACACTAAATGCCATGTCCTGATTAAGATCTACTCAGCCAAAAAGGATCTGCTTTAGTGCATATGGAATTTTTAGCAATTGAACAAAAACAAACAAAAAATAAAATTAAAAACTGGGGAGCCCTAGGGAGGCTCTAGATTTCCCATTTGGAGGGAAGTCACCAGGAGCAAGTCACCAGGCAGATACAGTGCACACTAATAACCCAAATCTGAAAGACTACTTAAAATGGAGAAATGTGTAACCAAATTAGAATCTACTTTTGGAATGTTGAAATGTATGCAGACTTCAAAACGAGTTCAGCTATTGTTTCCCAAAACTGGATTCAAACAAATATTCATTGGGAGGGGCTTGCAATTTGCACCCTCCCCATTATTAATAGGAGAGGCTTTAGACCATAGATCACCCCTCCGTCCATTATTCACGCTCCAACGAAGATAAGAACTCACTGGTTTCAGAAAAATAAATTTTTGCTATTTCCATGGTAGGCACAGGCTGTTGCATAGCCATTGGGAAGAAACCTCTGGTGCTAATTCAACAGGATCGGCTAAAGTGGGAACCAAATCAGTTGATCTTTCAAAAAAAAAAAAAAATTTAAACTTATGATACTACCACTCACTGAATTGAGAGTTTAGATAGATTAAATGGGTACCCAAGTACAACGTTTTCTGGTAATGTTAATTCACTGACACAGGGAACCAGTCAGTCAATGTATCAAGTTGTAGTGATGAACATTAGGGTAGTCTTGTGACACAGACAAGAGACTATTGCATGAACTCTACCATAGTGCAATTTACTATGAATGTGCTGTGGGATAAAGAAATTAACCCTATCCATTATTTGGGAAAAGTTCTTACGAAATGGCAATGCAATAGCTGCATAACATGGAGCAAAGCTTAACAGGCATGAGGGATTTACTAATCCAAGCTTCTGAACTGAAGACATGTTATACAGCAAAATAAACATCAAGCAGAGGTCATGCCCCTCTCCAAGGAAAGGAGTGTTAAGAATTTCAACCAGCAGCACATGATCTAAACAGACAGCAACCTGGAAACAGGACACTTGCCATTTACTCGTCAAAGGCCCATATGATTTGATTTTTTTAAAAAAAAAAAACTGAAGGGGGTTCTCTATTATCAAAAAAACAAAGTTTGAAAGCAATGCAATCTATTTCTGTCCTCCCTCATCTTGGATTCTGTATGCAGCATGGAAACAGACCCTTTGGTCCAATTTGTCCATGCCAACCAAGTAGCCTAAATTAATCTAGCCCCATCTACCAGCATTTGGCCCATATCCCTTTAAAGCCTTTGTATTCTTCATTTACATTTGAAAATCATCTGGATAGGTATTTGCACCAGCCTCCACCACCACATCTGGCAGTTTGTTCCATTCACATCACCCTGTGTGAGAAAAGCTGCCCCTCAGGCCCCTTTTAAATCTTTTCCCCCTCTCACCTTAAAATCTATGCCCTCTAGTTTTAGACACCCCCACCCCAGGGAAAAGACCTTGGATATTCACCCTGTCTATGCCCCTCATGATTTCATAAACCTCTACAAGGTCACCCCTCAGCCTCAGGTCCAGGGAAAATAGCTCCAGCCTATTCAACCTCTCCCTATAGCTCGAATTTTCCAACCCCAGCAACATCCTTGTAAATCTTTTCTGAAAGCTTTCAAGGATCACAACATCTTTACTTTGGCAGGGAAACCAGATTGAATGCAATATTCCAGCAGTGGCCACCCCATTGTCCTGTACAGGTGCAACATGACCTCCCAACTCCTATACCCAATGCACTGATTGATGAAGGCAAGCATAGCAAACAGTCTACTTGTGACTCCACTTTCAAGGAACTACAAAAGTTACACACCAAGGTCTCTGTTCAGCAACACTGCTCAGGGGCCTACCATTTATTGTACAAGTCTTCATTTGCCCTTCTCACCTCGTTTAAAATGAACTCCATCTGCCTCTCCTCAGCCCATTGGTTCATCTGATCAAGATCCCACTGTACTCAATCTTCACTAACACCACCAATTTTGATGTTATCTGCAAGCTTACTAACCATATCTTCTATATTCACAAATATAATAATGTAAACTGATGAAACACAGTGCACCAGCACCAATCCTTGCAGCATTCCACTGGTCATGGGCCTCCAGTCCCAAAAACAACTTGCTAATACCACCCTGCCTCCTACCTTCAAGGAAAGGTTACATCCAATTGGCTAGCTTCCCCTGTATTCCATATGATCTAGCCTTACCAACCAGTCTACCTTGTCTATTTGAACTTCAATAGATTCGACAAGGTCTACCATTCTGCCTTCAAATCTTGTCTCTTCAAAAAAAAAAACAAAAAGTTTGAGTCACAGGATAGACAGGAGGGGTTTTTAAAAAAAAACAAATAGGATCTGAGTGACAGTGGCAATGCCAGCATTTATTATTGCCGATCTCTGCTGCCAACTTATCAAGAGCAGCTAAAGTTCCTTCTTGAATCACTCAGTCCATAGGCTGTAGTTAAACTACATTGCCATATGGGAGGCAATTCCAGGATTTTGACCCAGTGATCTGAACAAATGGCAATGTTTCCAAGTCAGTATATTTAGTGGCTTAGAAGGGAACTCAACTCCCAAATGAAAAAGCAGAAGACCAGTGAAAAATCAGAAGTTTGGTCAGGCCATGCTCATGGATTGCAATGTGCAAATGATTTATATCTTTAAAGTTGACATTCAAAATATCAACATGGATTTTTGCCCATGAGGAGATTTAAGAAAGTGGGCTAGTAAGACCTTCATACTGGTTATACAGCCAAAGCTGTATAACAAGTTAATCTACTCAAAACCTTAAAGACTTTAAAAATGTAACAAAAAGTAAAGTAATTTTCAGAACAAAAAGTTTCAACCTTTAGTTTTTAAACCATTCTTCCAGTAATGGACATTTTCTTGCAAGTTGTTCAGAACTATATGCATTAGAAAAAACCTGTTTGAAGCAGGAAAAGAGTGCAAGAGTTTACCTTCCACAGGTGAAGTTTTCAATCTTGTACAAAGTCCTTCGACATCTCCGTAACACTCTTCTATTTTGTGCACAGCCTCTATAGATCGCAGTTCCATAAGATCACGGAGCTCTTTAAGTGTGCAACCAAACTGCCCTTCATCGTGATCATCTATTGCTTTCCTTGGAAGATACTTCACTGTATTATTCATGTCACCCATGTCTGAAAATCCTTAGTGTAAAATCTTTAAAGGTGGCAAAAAACTTGCAGTAATCCGGCCAAGCTAGATTCCAAATGTGATTCCTCCAGATAACAGTGATCAGTAAAGGAACTGCATATTATCCAACGTGATTACTTAAGAATTCCAATATTTAACCAATGACTTGTTTCCATATTCACTCGTTATGCAATCCTTCAGTTGAAAATCTCTGCAAAAGAAAGTGTGAATTTAGTTAACATTTGTACACAAAGAAACTTAAACCATTTTTAAAAAAGCCTGAGCTTTCATCATTTGACTCATGTGCAATATGACAGAGGCAGCAGATACATAGAGACAAAAGTTCCCCTAAAGGTACTCACCATACTAACTTGGAAATATAACTGTCATTCCTTCACTTATCAAAATCCCAAAATTCCCTCTTATATGGCATTGTGGATCTATCTAGAGCACATGGCCTACTGGATCAAGGAGGCAGTTCACCACAAGGGTGAACAATGCTGGCCCAGTTAGCAGCACCCAAATCCCACAAGTGAGCGAAAAAACAAAACTCCATCACCTGTCTAAAACCAAAGCCTTTCAGGCCCATAATCACTTGTTAATCTATTCAGCATTCTAACAAAAGCTGCCACATTTTTCAAACATAGACATCCTTGTCCAAATCCAACTCAATTGCAATAAAAAGCATTGAATTTGTTGCCAAGTCAGTGAATAAATTCTGTGTCTCAGAATTCGGAGGGGTTCAGACAGGGTTAATAGTAAGTATCTTCTCCCCAAGATGGGGGATTTCAAGACTGGGGCCACATTTAAGATGAGAAGGGAGATTTAAAAAAAAAAGACTGAGGGGCAATTTTTTAAAAATTAGAAACAGAAGAAAAGGTGAGTTTTGTGAGGAAAGAACTTCCAGAGGAAATGGTGGAAGTGGACACAATTACAACAATTAAGACATTTAGATAAATACATGAATAGAAAGACTTAGAAGGATATGAGCCAGGAGCAGGCAGATTAGACTAGTCTAGTTTGGGATTAAGTTTAGCGTGGACTGGTTAGACCAACAGGTGCTTCTGTGCTGTATGGCTCTACAATTCTATAGCAATAGATATCAGAAAAGAAATGTCCACTTGTATAGTGGAAATTTTTAAACTTGCATGATAAAAAGGAGAAAAGCTTGTTCTCACTACAGTAGACTCAAATCACTATGTAACAGAGATAGTAGGAACTGCAGATGCTGGAGAATCCAAGACAACAAGGTGCAGAGCTGGATGAACACAGCAGGCTAAGCAGCATCATAAGAGCAGAAAGGCTGACGTTTCAGGCCTAGATGAAGGGTCTAGGCCCGAAATGTCAGCCTTTCTGCTCAGCCTGCTGTGTTCATCCAGCTCCGCACCTTGTTATCTCATTATGTAACAACCTGGCTGAAAAGCCAATGTTGTTTCTCAGTGTCAATGCAAAATAGCTAGAATTGAGAAAAAAAATTTTCCTCATTGCAGATTCAAAAGCCCTCTGAATGGAGATCTGAATTACCACAAAAAGAGTGTAGTTACATTGTACAAAGGATAGGAGACTGGAGAGTTATAACTTAGCTACTAGGGGCACAATTCAAACATTGCAAAAAAAAGGTGCTCTTCAATTTAAACAAGCCACCAAAAGGAATATTTTAGTAACTGGACATTTTACTACGTAGGATTTCCCTTACAGGGAGCAGCCAAGAAACAGACAGAAAAATGAGTGACCCAGAAAGCCAAGTGAACAAACATTTTGGTTTTCCTCCAAGATTAATATTCATTGGCTACCATGTATAAAAAAGGTCTTTTGGGTTGCACTAGTGCTGCCCATCCTAGATTATGTGCCCCAATGTTTAGCAGTTCATAACTGCTTTGCACTGGCTAGAGTCAACATATCGACAACTACAACACATGCATTTGTCTAAAGATAGAAAATGGATCTCAATTTGTCCACCATTGGAACTGATCCATCTAAATGATTTAACCAAAATCAGGTGAGATATTAGGACACTTTTATTCAAAGAGACACTGAGAAGCACAGAAAAGTGGAGGCATGACTGAAGCAAATTAGACATTGCACTTGGAATTAGTAACTTCTGCAGGTTGTTCTAACTCAAAGTGTAATATAGAATCAAGGTTAAGATTTTGCTGAAAGAAGCATTATTCCAAATCGAATCAAAATATTATGCAGCCACTGTAGTCAACATTCTGGTCACTAAATTTTTAAACCTTCATTCTTAAATTGAGATCCATCTCTTTTCTCCCTCACATTTATATAAACCAAAATTTTTCTGAAAACTGGAGTTCTTAGGAACCCTTGGGGGGGGGGGGGGGGGGGAATAGGACTTTCAGATTCAGTGTTTTATAAATACCTTGGAGTGGATAAAGTCAGTGCAGTGTTGAAACTACAGGCTTGTTTTTAACACCAGCATTTAAGATCTTAAAGGTCCAGTCTCATATGGGCCAAAAGAATGTTCAATTTTTGAAGGGGCTGACAGCACATCTTTCAAGTTTTTTCATTTTCTCAAAGCGATATTGAGCACAACATTGGGTATGCTGCTGGGTGGATACACTTCCAAGAAACTTGCACTTAGTGCCCACAAAAGAAGAGCGACTCAGTGCTGACCCTGTCACTGTTTCCATATGCAATTATTTTTAAATTGTGAAGAGTTTGTGGAGCAACTACCTAATTGTTAAAACATTGAATAACAAAGTTCAAATAGCTCAAGAACATACTTTAGTCTCTTGATATGGTGGACCAGATTTTTGTGTCAGCTGCACATCTTGCTCCTTACCTACACTTAAAACATCCGAAGTCTTGGTAATATCATGACATGTTTAGGTATTGAAATAAGCCCAAAGTAATGCATTAGTAAACCATGTCTGAGATCTTGAGACCAGCTGGCACTGAAGGCAAAAGACAAATTAATTGGAGAACCTCCAGCCGAGTTGGATGGGCAGCAGAAAACTGTCCACAAATTGTCAAGTACAATATAGCTGGTGACAATAGGAAGTTTGGACACCATTGCAACAGATGATCAAAAATAAAAGGGACTAAAGCACTTGAATCACAGCAAAGAGAATTTGAATTTACATCTGGAACAGGTTATACTTGATAAAGACTGACCAGTACTGGTAGAGGTTGCTCGAAATAGAAAACTCCTGAATGGCTGACATACTTCACTTGAAAAGACCAGTTCTTCAAAATTAACTGACAACGTCACAAATCCAATTCATCCACTAAATCCAAAATTTTTTCAATTCAGGTGCAGAATCACTTTTCCAGCTTACAGCAAAAAAAAAAAAGAGGGGAGTGGAATGGATCAGTTAGTCTTTGGAGAGTTAAATTGAAAG